ACCATATGGGGTTGGAAGGGACCTCTGGAGATCATCTAGTCCAACCCCCCCTGCCAAAGTGGGTCCACGTAGAGCAGGTTGCACAGAAACTTGTCCAGGCGGGTTTTGAATGCCTCCAGAGAAGGAGATTTCACCACCTCTCTGGGCAGATTATTCCAGTGCTTTACCACTCTCACAGTAAAGAAGTTCCTCCTCACATTTAGGTGGAACGTCTCATATTCAAGTTTGTGCCCATTTCCTCTTGTCCTGTCACTGGACACCACTGAGAAAAGACCAGCCCTGTCCTCCTGACACCCTCCTTTTAAGTATTTGTAAGCATTGATTAGATGCCCCCTATGTCTTCTCTTCTCAAGACAGATAGAAGGTAGTAACTGACATGGAACAGATTTGAAGGTTGTTTGAGGAAAAAGAAATATTGCACACAATCATCTGTGGTTAGGTGTTATTACTGTGTGCACAGCATGTCGCTAACTGTGATGATGTATAAATAAAAGGGACTTACAGAATAGTGTTACGCCACAGGAATCATATCTCCTGCAAACAGGAGGACATCTGTAAAGACTTCTCTCAGGCTCTCAAAAGATTTGTCTGTTGCAACAATTTAAGGTACAAATAGCAATCAGGACAGTAGCCGTGAGGCTTCCCCTGAGGCTCAGCTGCATTGTAGTTGGAAAACCTACAGACATTCTGGATCTCCATTCTGAAGAAGAAGGTCTGAAATGCAACACATGTGAATCACCATTTTTTGAGGAGAACTGATCAATGTAGGGAAGAAAACAGAAGTGACTGTACAGGATGGAAAAGAGCAGTCTTTCCCACTTGGTATCTGTCTCAGGGACACATTTGCTGGGGAGAATATACCAACTTATAGTCATTGAAGAGGTTCTATGTTATGTATTTGTCTAGTTGATCCTGTAATAGTTTTTATACATTGATTTCTGTGACAAGGATCAGGGATCTTTTCAGATAATCAGTTGGTGGCTCACAATGGGAATCATTAAAAATGGCAATGTGTATCTCAGCTGGAACTGCCTTCTGCCTTCCCTAGCTTTAGGTTCTGTGCTGCTAAGACACTCTAATAACCTTAGAAACCACATCATCTGAGTTTCTATTTGTGTATCGCATTTGGAGGAATACTTTCTCTACCTTAACTGCCAGAGTGACCTGACAAACTGGTGCCTGACATGACTTCCTTGCATCAAAGAGAGTAAGAGTATTACAGCGTGATTGCCCAAGGGAAAATTTTTGCTCTTGGGGAACAGATGGAATATCACCAGGATTCCAATAGTAATGTGACTTGTTTATTATGTCTTCACCCTAATATGCTAGAATACTTTCTTGTTTCCTTCTGAATATCAGTCCCTGTAGGGCATATGTAGGGTTCAGATTTTCTGCCATGGACCATGTCTCAGGTTCTAGCCTGAGCATACAGTACAATTCAAGACAAATATAAGTATGCAACAAGAATCTACAAATAAAGAACATGTAGTATGCCCAGGTAGTATTTGTCAGAAAAAGTGTAGTCTACCTCTGTAAGAAGAGGAAGATTTTGTAAGGCAAATGTTTCTTGATAAAATCATGAGATAATATACCACAAATGCACACAATAGCAGAAATCTCCGGAAAAAATACATTGGTGGGATAATTGTTTTGGGATGGGATGAAGGAAAGCAGCAGTTTATTCTTGTCTTACACACATGGCACAACATACAGAACCAGCACAAATAACTTACAAAATCTCATACACCATGCTTCCTCTCAAATAACTTCTAATAAGTTACAACACCATAACGAATCAGGTATTTAGTTACGACAGATCTCCAGACATGGATAGTCTCCCATTCAAGGAGTTACTATTTTTGTAAGCTACTTAGACAAACATATTTTACATGTTTAGTACAGTACAGTATTCTTAACAGAGTTCAAGATATTCACAATGAGAATTGAATACTTTATAAACCAGCAGAATTTCTCATCTTGGTACAGGTCTACATTCGCTCCTGCCTTGTCTGGTTTACAGATATGTTACAAGTCGTCTTTACTCAACTTTCCAAGCTGAACACCGCTTTAAATGAAAAACAAAATTCTATTTACAGGATGGTTTTAGATTTAATAAAAGTGCCTTTTCTTCTCTTTTCCATTCCTACCTCCTATCCCCAAAAACATGGCAATTTAGTTGGTAGAAATATTAACCCTCAAGCTCTTATAGAAACTTGAAAAAAAAAAGTGATGACGACTCTTTAGATGCAAAATGAAAGATGGTCATAGCCCATCATTAATTCAAAAAGGCAGATTATTTTCTCCTAATGTCAGATATTTTGTCCGTTGGAGACAGATGACTCCTATCATCTCATTTATAAAGCTAATGTACTACTTATGGACCAATACACAAAACCTCATTTTTTTTTAATTACAAGCTGTCCCACTCTCATGCAATCACTTTCAGTGTAAAGTTCTTTCCTTACTATAAATTGTAACAACTCTGCCTGTGTAGTAATGACTTAAACTCTCCCAGCCTCCATCAGATCAGACTGTCTCCTCTTATCCATGGTCCCATTGATATTGCTGGGTTGACTCACAAGAAGAGTTTTGCTCTGTGATTACACTTCAAACCCCACTGAAGCCTGTGGGCATCCTTCCTTCAATGTGGTGGCTTTGGATTAGCTTTGCTTGAATGTGGCTAGCAAACTCTAGCCCTTAAGCAGTTAATCAGCTTTCTAAAGAAATAAGCAAAAAAAAATTTCCTCTCCTTTATACATACAATACGCAGGTTTTTTACATTGAGCATTATCATAAAAAGCATGTTTATGTTATTTTGAAAATGTATTTTTACAGAACTTTATAAACACTGTTATATCAAACACATTCTCAAAAACTGGAGAAAATACTGACACAAAACCTGGAAGAGTCTCAATAGAATACTTCCAGTACTATTTGTCTACTTGCATATTTCATATTTCAGTGTCCTTTACCGCAAACATAATTTAGCCTATGAGAACAGGTAAAGTCGACAACAAATCCCCAATAGTTTTGAAAAAGACCTGGATCTGTTTCTTAATGAAAGTCGTTTGACATCCAAATGAAAGTAATTTGACATCCAATGCATGGTGATATTTTTACCTGGCATGCCCTTTCTGTTACATGTATTCACATAGAGCAATACCGTAATTCCGAAATAACCTCATTCTCTTTAGTGAAATTACACATGACAAAATGATGTATGCAAAAATACTGAAAATGGTTTTCCACTTTTTAAATCCTTCTTATGTCAACAACTAACATCATCGTGTTCTTCTTTGTGTGTATTGTAACTGAAAATGAAGTCAAACTAATATTTGCAAACAATTCTGCATCAGAAATCTGCGTACAAACTTCAGGAAATACGCTGCTTATAGTTGTGCTATAGTTCTGACTGCCTAAAAATCTATCTGGTGTGACAAAGAGTAAATTTCACAGGTCTAGATGTTTTATTTATATGTTTGTTTATGTTACACTTGATACTGCCCCAGCCTGGCGCAGTTTAAACATACATATGTCACACTAACATGAAATCAAGATGTTATTTTCCCTTACCACTTTTCAGTACAACCAGTAATGGAAATTAATGCATATAATCTAAGTGAAATGCACTTTTCAAGTAGTTTGTCTAACATGATATTGGATAAATTATAAGAGGACCTATCCTGCGAAAGTTTAAAATGCATTAAACTTTTTAAGTTGGGAGTAGTCTTACTGGTTGTAATGGCACTACTCACAATTTAGGAAGTTAACAGAATAAGATCTTGTTCTCTATTTCATTACTTTATTTGTTCTTTAATGAAACAAAAGAAGAGACAACTATAATTAGTGAAAAGTCATTGACTGTAACATCACATATGTTACCTCATCTTAATAGAAATGCCTTCCCATGGCTTGAAATGCTTAACATGTAATCTTTGTTATGGGAATAACATACAAGCCATATCTAACCCCAGATTCTAGCTATACTCTGACATGTGCAGTCACCCATAAGGAGCCCTTTTAACAAAACAATGTATGGTAAATTGCTCAATGATTTGTAGAATGTATCTATTTCAGTCACTGTAGTAAAACAATCCATATATATACATATTAAAAAATCCAAATGTAAATAATTATACCGTATTTCCACACATAAAACAATTAGTTGCACATGATGTGATATGTGAAGGAAATTGCTGAAAATCTCTTCAGTCTTTGGGATGATCAAAGTATAAGTAACCAAAACTTAAACATAACAATTGAATTTTCATAAAGAAGGTTTTTGATGGAGGGGCAGGAGGATTTCCCCAGCTACTCATGCTTGTTCCCTGTGGCTTTTACAGACTCAGCCCCTATCCCCAGTAAACCACAGGTGATTTTTTTAGATCTAGTAATATATTTTAATGAGGTTATCTTCTTCTGTATAACAGTACTGATAAGGTTTCCACTGACTTTTTCCTAAAACATAGTCTATTCTCATTTAAGTTTATACTCCTTCAGAAGTTTCAGGCTATTTAAACTCCAGAAGAAATTGAATTTAATCCAATTATGTTAAAGTCTAATGAAACAGAAATTCCTTTATTTACTGTGAACATGTTGTTACCTTCTGTTCTGATAATTCAATTCAGTTTTTATTCTCCCCCCCCCCCCCCCCCAAAAAAAAAAAACGTTTTGGTAAAAAGCCATACGTATATGCTAGAAA